ATATCACCTTCCTCTATGACATCCCACACAAAATGATATCTGATGTCGATATGCTTCGTATGAACATGATGAACTTGATTCTTAGCCAAATAAATCGCACTCTGACTATTGCACCACAAATTCACACAATCCTGCTCAACCCCTAAATCATCTAGAAGACCCCACAACCACAATGCTTCCTTCATTCCCTCTGACATGACCATGTACTCAGTCACTGTAGTAAAAAGTGCAACTGTAGCCTGTAACATCAATCGCCAACTAATTAGAGCATCATGTATTCTGAACACATAACCAGTAGTAGACCGTCGTCTGTCTAGATTGCGTACATAATTTGAGTCCCCAAACTATCAATCTGACACGTATCTCTACCAAAGCACAGACCTGTATCAATAGTACCCTTCAAATACCTCAGGACCCATTTTACTGCTTCCCAATATGTCTTTTCCGGATTTGCCATGAACCTACTGACAACACTGACCGCTTGTGAAATATCTGGACGTGTACACACCATTGCGTACATTAAACTGCCAACTACACTAGCATAAGGTACACGTTCCATGTGTTCCTTCTCTTCCGCTATAGTGTGAGATTGTTTACCTGAGAGTCTGAAGTGTGGAGCCAATGGAGTCACCACCGACTTAGCACTTTGCATCCCAAACCTTGTAATAACCCGCTCAATGTAACCCTTCTAACTCAAGAACAATCGCTGATTTGCTCATTCTCTTCTAATATCCATTCCCAGTATTTTCCTAGCAACACCCATGTCCTTCATCTCAAGCTCTTTACCAAGTTGAGATTTTAACATATCTATCTCCACGTTGCTTGCTTCTCGAAGCAATAAGCATGTCATCCACATACAAAAAAAGATAGATATAATCACCTCCACGAAACTTCCGAATATAGACATAACAGTCATAATTACTTCTGGAGAACCCATGCTTTAGCATGAAGGAGTCAAATCGCTTGTATCACTGCCGAGGAGATTGTTTCAATCCATATAGTGATTTCCTTAAGTGACATACATGATTCTCCTTATCCTCAGCCTTTTAACCCTCAGACTGATGCATATAGATTTCCTCGTCCAAGTCTCTGTGCAAGAAGGGCGTTTTGACATCAAGTTGTTCCAGCTCAAGATCACCATAAGCAACAATACTCAATAGCACCTGAATAGAAGTGTGTTTTACCACCGGAGAAAAGATCTTATTGTAATCCACACCCTCTCTTTGTGCAAACTCCTTAACCACTAGTCTAGTTTTGTACCTTGTACCTTGTACCGCCGAGCTCGGAAGGATCCTCCTTTCTCTTGTACACCCACTTACAACCTATAGCTTTCCTCCTTATGAAAAATATGACTACCTACCATGTTTGGTTCTTCCGGAGAGATTCCATCTCTTCCTCCATCGCAGCCAACCAACTCTTAATATTCCTGTCTTGAATAGCTTCTTTGAAGGTGACCGTCTCATCATCCTCCACCGAGAGTGCGTACTCAGCCAAATTTACCTACCCATAGTGCTTTTGAGGCTGGTCTAACCCCAACTTCTAAACCTGCTTGTATGCTCGCATTGGCCTAGTGGAAGCCAAACTGTCTTCGAGCTGTTGTTGTTGTAGTGCATGTACATTTTTGCTGAACCTCCTCCTGTTCAAGCTCATCATCACTCCTTTCCCAAGTGTCTCCATGGTTTTCCACTAGAACACAACTAGAACCTGATTGGTCTTTAGGTTCTATCTCAATCACCTGGGATATTAAGATCCTAACAGTCTCAACACCATCATCCTCGGGCGCCCTAGCTTTTGATAAAGCTATCATGTATTTCTCATCAAATGTAACATCTCTGTTGATCACGAACTTAGAATCTTCTGTATATCAAAGGAGCCTTTTACGCCCTTTGCATACTCCAAGAATATTACCTTCTTGGCTCTCGCGTCAAGCTTTCCTTCGTTGACGTGATAGTATGTTGTACATCCGAAAATCCTGAGCATATCATAATCTGCATGCTCCCCTGACCATACCCGATAGGGTACGTCACCATCCAATATCGAATGTGGAGAACGATTCACTATGTAACAAGCTGTAGCAACCGCTTTTGCCCACCATTCTTTGTCTAAACCAGCATATGATCGCATACTTATTGCTTTCTCCCGTAATGTACGGTTTAGTCTCTCTGTGAATCCATTCTGCTGTAGTGTAGACCTGACTGTCCAGTGTCGAGCAATACCCTCCTGATCACAGAACTTCTTGAAAGTACCATCTATATACTCTGTACCGTTATCATATCTCAGTGTCTTTAATATCCTGCATGTTCTGTTCTCAACCATTTTTTTCACTTTTTGAATATCTTGAATACCTCATTCTTATGCTTAAGAAAATAAACCCAAGCATACATGGAATAATCATCTATAAACGAGACAAAATACCTAGAACCTCCCTTGAAAGTTGTCGGAGCCGGACCCCAAACATCTGTATGCACATAGTCTAATATACCTCTGCTCTTGTGCTTGATTTTCAAGAACTAGACCCTGTGCGTCTTTTCGTACACACAATCCTCGTAAAAATCCATGCAATGTTTTCTTCATGTTCTTCAGCAAACATTCATTACCAAGCAGATCTAGACCCTTCTCTGATATGTGCCCAAACCGCCTATGTCATAACCGTGTGTGCTCGCATGGGTCTCCACCACTTCCATCAGTTCCAACCGCTGCATCTCCCGTCACTGTCGTACCTGAGAGAGTATATAGATTACCATGACGAATGTCATTCATCACTACTAAGGAACCTCGAACAACCTTCTTTACTCTGTTCTCTGCAACTATCTTGCAGCCACCGGAGTCCAAAGCACCAACTGAGATAAGATTTTTCACAAGTCGGGAACATGTCTCACATCCGTCAAGGTTCTGACCACTCCATCATGCATCTTTATTTTGATATCACCAAGCCCCACCGTTTTACAAGCATGGTTATTCCCCATAAATACGGTTCCACCATCAATACTTCTATAGATAGTAAACCACTTTCTATTTGGGCACATATGGTAATAGCAACCTGAATCAAGAATCCACTTACCGGAGGTATCTTCACCACACGTAACAGTGTAGCATTCTTTTTCATTCCCTTCCTCTGAGACATAACTCGCCTCTTCCTTGCCTTCTATTCTCTCGGTCTTATTGTTGTTCTTCTTCCCACGTACGCTCTTGTTAGGACAGTCAACCTTAAAATACCCAATCTCACCGCATTTGAAACACAATCTTCCTGCAAAAGGTCTCGATTTTGATCTAGACTTTCCTCCATTGTCTTTTCCTCGCTCATTGCACCTTCCTCTTACAAACAATCCTTGTGCTTGCTCCTTGTTACCATTAGTGGTTATATCACTAGTTATAATTTTCCGAAGATCATTCGCTAGAAGCGCCGTTCTAGTCTCATCCATCTTCAAATCGTCACCTACAAGCATCAATGTTTGTACCAGGTTTTCATAAGACTTCGGTAAAGAAAGAAGTAGCAGAAGTGCTTGATCCTCATCTTCTACTGTCACATCAATGCCCTTCAAATCCGATATGATCTTATCGAACTTGTTGATGTATTTCCGGATTGATGATCATTCCTCCATCTTGCAAGTATACAATTTGGATTTCAAGTAGATCTGATTTGTTAAACTCTTTGTCATGAAGGTATTCTCTAACTTTGACCACACACGCGCAACCGTGTCCTCTCCATCTACCAAGAAAACTACATCACTCTCAAGGCATAGGATAATCGACGCTCGTGCTTCGAGATCTAACTCTTCTCAATCCTGATCAGACATATCTTTGTGCTTTTTTTCTTTACCTGCCAAATCCTTGTGCAATTTCTGCGAAATCAAAGAGTTTTTTATTTGCATCATCCAATAGGAAAAATCATTCTTCCCATTGAACTTTTCAATCTCATATTTTCCCACTTTGATCGTTTTACTGGTAGACGTCATTCTCCGCTTGTTTTAGTAAATCCGTTTCTCTCAGGAATTTTAACAAACACCTTGTGTACACCACACAATAACCAAGCACCAACTCAAATCGAAAGTTCTACTACCATTAATTTGATCAAGGGGCTCTGATATCAATTGTTGGGGGGCGACACGCCCACCTCGCCGCGGAAGTGAATCACCTTGAGAGAAAGCCCTGATTTTTTTTTAATAAAAAAACACAAGCCAATCTCGATGTTCATGTTTCGCGATGGGCTTTTGTTTTCACAAAAAACACCAATCTCGATGTTCCTATTTCGCGATGGAAACAAGAATAGAAGTAATATATCTCAGCAAGGTGAGATATACACTCTTCTCAATATCAAATCTAGGTCTGAATATCGAGAAAACCAACAAGCAATAGCCAACACACAGAAAAACAATAAAGACACGAGATTTACGCGGTTCGAAAAACTTGCCTACGTCCACGGGGAGGGGGTGATGGGAGATTCCACTATGAAGGAGAACACTGACGACTTGCACAACCAGGAGAACACTGACGACTTGCACAATCAGCAAACTCGTCCCAAAGAGAAGATGCTTTGATTTTACCCAAAAAAACTGACCTCTTTATTGTACAATCGCTCGAAGTTCTCTCTCTTTTCTCTCATCAAGATCTCACATTTTAGATCTGAAAAACTCTCTCTACATCTGCCTAAAACCTCAGAAAACCCTAGGAACGAGTTCTTATTTATACCCAAGGAATTAGACCCAAAACAGGCCCAAAAAACTGAATTGTTCGGACTCGCGTGAGACACTTGAGTATCTCGCGCGGGTGTCTTGCACACGTCTTGCAGGGGAGACGCCACGCGAGACACCTTTTGGTGTTTTGGTGTCTGTCTCGTGAGCGAGACCCCGCTGTTCACAAACATATACTTTGGTAAAATAATAAGCTTGAGGTCATAGTAAGGGGATTTGAGCTTGTAAACATTTTGTACTCTTATTATTTTGACCAAAAAAAAGTTTCTCAGAAATGGAAAATATGCTTCTCAATCCTTATATCAAGAGTTCTTTGAATTGTCTCCACTTTATAAGCACTTATTGTCCATGTTCTCGAATGCCAAAGATATTAAAAAAAAACTATATCCTATTCAATCCTAAGCATTATACATGTTAGGAGTTACATAAAAGAAACAAATTACAATAAATATAAAAACAAATAAGTTAAAAAAAGTACTTACATATAGGGGCAAAAATTAGCCCTGGGCGCTAAATCGGAAAATGTAACATTTAAGTTTTGCAATTCTGCTGCATTGTGCTTGACCTTGATCGATGATCCTCAAAGTTGCAATTTGTAACCGTTCTTGTTTTTAACATGGGCAACTCTCATTTATGATTCCAAGTTAGGGGCAACTCTCATTTATGATTCCAAGTTAGGGTTTCCTCTTTGGACGTATATTTTTGCTCCAATATTTTGTGCTTGATTTCAATGAATTGACTGATCACAAGCTCAATTGGCAAGGATCAGTGATGGGAGGTTCCACAATCAACTCAAACTGCTCAAATTCCTCTGAGTAGATGAAGTTCGTCTTGCATGAATGCTGCTTGTTATATGTGACCATGTATATGGGAGGATCCTCATTGTCCTTTTGTTGCACTTGTTTTGTTGCTTGGCAGCCTTGGTCATCTTTGTGTGTGCATCTATAGTAGCATCTGAAATTCCAAATAAAAAATTATTTATACATTACGGTTATTCGGTCATCAGTGATTAGCAAAGAAAAGTTACTTGCGCGTTGTTTGTAAAATTTGAATGTATAAGTCATTATTTCTTTTAGTTATGTGGATAATTTGTATCTATTACAGGTATACAATGTGAGTATGCATTTTTTTATTGTTACGAAGAAATTTGAATTTGTATTGGTTACCAGTTTACAGAGTTATAGAACACTGTACATAATCTTAAAACCATATCAACTACACCTACACTCCAACATTATAATGAGGATTTAGAGTTATGATTTTATAATCTGACATGCATCTTGCAGGTCCAACACCGTTCTCATGAGCAGAAACTTACACTATTTTATGCAGCGGTACCTTTTTTATGCTGCTTTAAATGCGTGCCTGGTATGATTTGAATAGTGGTTGCTCTGACACCATCTTAAATTCTCTTTCACCGCACCAAAATTCTGAAATTTTGATGAAGGTTGACAGCTATAATTTTATATTGTAACAATAATACAATAAAAATTAGCCCATATTAAACACTCATGATACTAGCCTACCTCAAGTAAAACAAACAGAATGATAATCAGTTCAGAAATTGTCAACTTCTCTATAGTTTATTTAAATGAATGAGCAATAGCAAATTCTAGTTAGGTAGTATAAGTTTTATCATCATCACATCTACACATAAATGTAAGCAATAAATAACAGGTAAAAAGATGCCAACTTACAAATGAATAAATATCTTTTATAAACTTGAACAAAACCTAGTATTTTGAATTAGAAAAGTACAAATTATGTTGTGAATTCTAGTATATGCATCCATAATGATATATTTTCACAAAAATCAGGAGAAAACACACCTTGGCATCTTACAATTGCTGATCTTCTTCTCCCCATATTTTCTCCATTGGTGGCCATCATTAAAAGGCGTGCGTGTTGTCGTCGTCCATGAATGAAGATGGCTTCTGGTGTAACAAAATAAATAAATAAAATAATACAAATTTAACCATATATCTTTCTGATGTAAATTTAACCATATATCTTTCTTTCTAATCATAACTAATAAGCTAGAGAAGATGTGTGTAGTTATTTACGAAAGAATAACCAAATTCAAAATAGATATGTAATACAACAACAATTTCATTAAAAATATCATAAATCCGTATTACTTTAATAAATTTGAAATTCTTTTATAAGCACATGCCAATTGAAAAGTATAAAATGATGAACATTGTAAAAGGAAAGAAAACCTGGACTCTTTGGGTACTCTGCACATTTTTTTTTAAAGAAGGGTACTCTGCACATTTACTTTAGAGTATTTAATTATTTTTTGGGGTAAATTTGACATAACCTCCAAAAGGTTTGGCCCATTGTAAGATAACACCAAAAAAAATTAAAATTGCCGCACAACAGAAGAAAGTTTTGTCGGATAACCCCCCCAATCATACAACTTTTTGGGTATTATGCGATATTAAAAAAAAAGGTGTTATCTCAATATAGACTGGACTTGTGGAGTGTTATGTGAAATTTAATCTTTTTCCTAAATACTTAGAATAAAGGAAACACGAACAAACATACCTTTGCAATTTGGCCTTGTTGTTCTTCTTTTCTCCATTAGTGTTGCAAGTTTGACCTTCGTTGGCGGTTTCATAAGAAATTGTTGTCCCAGAATGTAGATTTCTGCAAGCAGATTAAGAAGTTTTTGTCGATTAATTTACCTATATTCTTAGAGAATATAGTACAGAATAACTAGTTCCATTATAATGGCTTTGAAGGGAAAAAGGGAGTCTTACTTGAATAAAGGGTCTAAAGATGATGTATAATTAATATTTGATTTGACACATGATCCAGTATAAGATTAGTGAACCAAATGTGGATCAAATGCGTCTCTCACACTTAACCAAATGTATTAGACTTGAATTCTAAAACAAGTAGCCAAACATCCATAATAAGTCTGGTGATCCTTTCTAATATACACTCCCTTTAGGTCCAAATCATCTTAATAAATGTAACGGCCACTATCCAATTTTTTTTAATACTTCATTATTTATTTTCTTTTCTACTTGACAAAAGTATATTTGAAGGGCATTATCAGCTTAATTTAATATTAAGGAGGAGCTTAAATTAACATTAAGGAGGAACTTGAGACGAAATAGGTACAAATTCTATCAGAGTGTCTCCATAAAATGGAGTGATCTATACAGTCATGGGTGGAGAGAGGGTTAGTTTTGGAATTTTAACTATTCTGTTCATGGTGCAAATGACTTAATTAAACGCCAAAAAAGGTGGTTCTGATCGGATTTTTATTCGTCAAAAAGTATATTTGCTTGTGTACATAGACAATAAAAGAGAAAAAGTCTCTTGTGGTCCGAATTCAAGAGGCAGGCAATACTCTAAGGAATAGGGACTCTTGGTATCAACACAAGAAACAAAAAACTTATACTAAGTAATTCATATTTATTCAAGAACCCATTTTCGGACCATCTCTGAGTACCAGCAATGAATAACATAATACTGAAATAGACTACAATCCTTAAACTACCCTTGTACTATCAGAAATGAACATGTGAGATACTTGAATTTCTGTGAGCATTTTTTTTTCTTGCAGTTACAAACAGCTCGGAATTTATAGTCTAGTTTCTTGCAAGAAAGAAAATCAGTTTTAACGATATTTTCCCATCTATCAAAAGCTTCGCTATTGCACACGTGTAACTTGTAAACTTCCGAGAAAGAGAGTAAGTAAACCATCCAACAAAAAAGTATTTTATCCAATTGCTCTTGACGCAGACCATCATGTTCTTTTCCTACTCCTAGTCGTTCGAACGAAATAAAATCATAACGAAGAGTCCAATTAACTTCTCAATTATTAGCCCCCCCAAGTTGTCCTAAAGAAAGTTAGTTGTTTATGATTGAGTGGCAGCTTCTGAGTTGTTGCCATCACATTATTTAACAGAGAAAGATGCTTTGCTGTCAGAAATAAATAAATAACAATTGTGCTTTTTGGCTCGCGGTTCAACCGCGAGCCCCAGACACTGTACCCCCCTCTGCGAGTTGCTAGCTCGCGGTTGGTCCGCGAGCCAAAATTTATTTTCGAATAAATAATGACCCGGTCTCAAAAGCAAAGTTTAGTATATTAAGACCGACATAGAAAAAGGCAAATGGTATTGTATTCGGAGTGGGTATGGGCAAATGGTATTGTTTTGTTTGGATTCGGATCCTCTCGACTATCTAAAAAGTAGTGGATCATAATCATTGATTATCTAGTTGGTGGTTGTGATTTTTTTAGTGCAAATTAGGAATGAGTGCAATACACGGGGGCATGGTGAGTGTTAGATTTAGATTGTATCATAACCGCCTACTAAATAATCAACGATTAAGATTAAAAGTAGTGATCTCTCCTTTGTAAAGGAATCAAGCTCGAAAGTCTTGGGGGAGATGGAAGTCACGTGGATGGATGGTTAACTTGCAGATGACAGAAGGTCCAACACTCTTGTAATTTAATAATATCTTTTTATGGAATTTTTTTTAAATGCGCGAATTGCGAAAATAGATCTAATTGACTTTGATTTTTCTTTTTCCTTTTTTAAGTTACCCAAAAAGATATTTTTCTTTTTTAAGGAATAGCAACACACTGAGGAAAAGACTAACCTTAAGGCTAATTGTATTTTAGGGCCAATATTTGGACATCCATATTGTAAAAAAAAAACTGCATGCGAAGAACTGGATGAATTGGTCGCTATGTATAGTTTCATTTTGATGAACTTTTGAACCAGACCAGGTTAAAACAGAGAGAAAAATATTTTCACTAATCATATTAATAATAAAATTAAACGGATTTCTTGTTGCCGTAATTGAATAGTATAATACATTATAACTAGGTAGAGCCCATAGATCTCTCTTCTGTATTCCGAAAAAGTATTCCGGCAAATCCCAAAAGGTTGATATCGACTTGCGTGCATTTCAGTCCACAACAATTAATTGCTACAATCTCCACATTTGACTTTGGGAAATCGCTTTTAATGAACCGGGGGAAAAAAGAAAGAAAAAAAGAAAAAAGAAAAAGGAAAACTCTTTTCAGCTTTGAACAAACAAAAAGATTGAATCATTTACAGTCTCCTTCAATCTTGAATTTGATACCTCAACCTAAACCATTCATGTACATACAAAGTGATATTGGACGTAAAATTTCCATTCAATCCTCTGAGATATTTTTTCACTATACCACAAAACTAACTAGCACCAAATCAAAAAAGAACAGAGCATGGATTTTACAAAGAAACGCAAGTTCAACGGCGACGCCTAATTACCTCTTTCTCGAATTTGTACGACTCTTATCGTCAAACCCCACGGCCTCCACCTCCGCCGTGGACGTCCGGCTCTCCTCCCTCTCCGAGCACGGCAGGCTGATCTCCAACGCCAGCGGATACCGAAACCTGGCCTTCCTCGTTTCGGCTCAGAATCTCCATCGTCGACGCAGAGACTGCTGAACCTCCTTCGACAGGTCGACACGCCGACTCCAACCTCCCGTCGCCTCTACCTCACGAAGCAAATTGTGGAGCCTCGACGATAATTCGTGGCCCTTAGCTACCTCTTTGATTGCTGATCCAATATCAACTGCAGCTGATTGTTTTTGCAATGGAGATCCCATTGCTGTGATGTCCCCCTTGGGCTCTCTTCAGAGTCTGTGAGAATTTGGGGGATTAGTTTAAGACTTGGGATTTTTTTTTTCCCCCGGGGGCTAAAGAAAGAAGGATGGTCAACTGAAGGAGGGGTGTTGCTTGGGGGAAATTAGTTGGGGTTCCAATATCAGCAGCACGTGAGAATGCAAGTTGAGGAGGGGAGTCGCAATTATAAAGCCCATGTGGCTCATTGCTCTTCACTATGTACGTCGTTGGACCTGGTCTCGCATTTATGTTATTTTATTTGAGGGGGGTTGTTGCCTATTGGTAGTCAATGGTAAAATGATAAATTTTACGACTGACCCTACATTATTTTTAGGGTCTTCGTCTTTTAAACCGAAGTTTGTTCATCACTTATTTTAAACCCACCCTCTTTTATAAATACTCATATACTTTTATAAATACTCATATACGTAAAGTTCCCTTTGTAACTTATTTGTAAACCTTTTTGGTAATACACTCTCAAACCTTATATTATATTTTTCAGGAGAAAAAAAAATTCAAAGTTGCCTTTCCCCCCCCAAATAAGCCTATAAGTTCTCTCTTTTTCTCACTTCCTTTGTTTCACAAAACACTAGATTCAAAGAGTCGATCTTCAAATTTTAGGTGAAGTTAATCCTTAAATTTCACCAAAGCTGACCAAACTATAGCCTTTATATGAAAACATAGCTTTTTAGGAGCAAAGTATAACACCTTATAAAAAAAAGTTCTTTTAAGACTAAAGTGTATCTCTTTATCATTGTATTATAGCTCTTTATTGATTCTGGGACTATAGGAAAGAAATTAATAGCATGTAGTATGACGTTAATAAAATTGCTAGAAGAAACATAAGATTTAATATACATTGGATTATTTAACATTAAAATATCAAAGGTTAATAATTATTAATTTTTCTCTGAGCAAAGTAGAACGCTGTTATTCAAAAACATAGCTTCTTATGAGAAAAGTATAGCACCATACATAGAAGATAGCTCTCTGCAACTAAAGTGTATCTCTTTATTGGTACAATATAGCTCTTTATTGGTACAATATAGCTTTTTATTGGTTGAGGGATTATAGAAAAGAAATATTTAATGATTGTAAATAGAAATCACATGAAAACTAAATTAATATCTTTTATGAAGAGAAATATCAATGGAGGAAAGAGACTTTTTAAGAAAGAGATTGAATACTAAAGAGAGAAACAGAGATTTTGAAGAGGATGAGTATGCTAAATTGAGGTTTGGGAAGTAAAGGGAGCGATGTGTAAAAATAAATTTCTCTGTCATCAATGTTAACGTGATCGGCAGCATGACCACAATTTAGAAGAAGAGAGGAAAGGGCTATTTTAAAATTTCTTTTTGGAGATGCAATATAAAGTTTGAGGATATACTATAAATTGGGTTTAAAAATAAGTTACATAGGAGACCTTGAGGTGTATGTGTGTTTATGGAAGTGAGTAGTTTTTCAAATAAGTGAGGGTAAAATTTTGGGTTAACAGACAAAAATCCTTTATTATTATTGTCATTGTTATTATTATTATATTAAATTTTCTTCTAAAAAATTAATAAATGCATAAACATATCACATAGCTTTAGATGCATAGAAAAAAAATCTTATATTATTAAAAAAATTTGGTCTTATGACCATAAACCAGCTTAAAACGTTATTGGAGGTTTACTGCAAAATGCTAAAAGTTCTTACAAATTAGTGTAATATTTAAGATTTTGCAATTCTAATAGTTATTAGACGATAGTATGATTTTAAAAATTATTGAAGGTTTACTGTAAAATGCTAAAAGTTCTTACAAATTAGTGTAATATACCCTAAATATTATGATAACAGGATAATATTGATACTTACCGTATGAGCGTGTACTTATTTACTCCTTCAACTAGAATCTTCATTCCCCAGGCATCCAAGAAATATAATAATAGGCTATCAGATTTGTATTTCTTTACTTTCAAAGTCTTAATTAACCATTTTGGGTGGTCATTGTTAGCTAAGAAATTATTATATATTAAACTTCCACCTGCTCAATGGTATTTTTTCCATAAAGTAAATCTAGTTGTTGCTGTTCGTATACAAGTGGACGGCAAAAATATGGGCTAGCGTCGACAGCATTAGTTGTTGGCGGCATTTTTAACTCGACAAACTACACGAAGAACCCCATTTCCAAAAAGGTTAAATCAATAAAAAAAGACTGTCAATAAAGAGCGCACCGCCTTCGAGAATGGATCTGAGTGAACTCTTGTTTTTGGGATCCAATAAATAGCATAACTTTCGTCAATAAGAACATTTTTTCTCGCCGACGACGGCAATTCCGACAATGAGGAAAAAATTTTAAGAACATTATCAGGCTGCTATTTTAAGGTGATCTTATTTTTCAATATAGTATTTAAAAACACTTTGTCGTCAATAAGAATATTTTTTTCTCGCCGACGTCAGCAATTCCGACAATAACTGTAACGTTTTCATGAGAAAACTTTTTAAGAACATTTTTTATTGCCGGTGATAGCAATTCCGCTGTAATGTTTTTGTGTGGAAAATTTTTCTCACCCCCTGACCTTTTAAAGTTGTTGCATTTTCACGCTTCTTCTGTTTCAACATCCTCAATTCAAATTTCTTTCACACTTTTACCAAATAAGGCCCTTCTTCATCTTCTCTCTCTCTCTCTCTCTCATCAAGGGAGTCTACTCCTTCAATCTCTTCCAATTCAGATCCAACCCTTAGACCAAACAAGAACCTGATAATTTGGATTAGAATTTGAGTTTGAATTGGGAAATGTTGTAAATACCTCCCCCCCTCCCCCCCCCCCCCGCGCCCCCCTCTTCTTTTATCCTTCTCTTTTCCCTTTACGATATAGGCTTGTACAATTTCCTCTCCTTGTAAAACCTTCTATGAATGCTCCTGGACGGATGGAGTAGCTATCAGCATAGCCCTTAACGCTGAAGGGAAATCCATGGACTTCTTGCAATATATTTCGTGTGGGATATATTACGTCATAATGTCTCGAAGTTTTGGCGTATTGAAGATATTGTATGATACTTGTAGATAATATAGTTAAATATTTGATACTATCTTTAGAGATTTGATTGATATTTTTCATCTCCTGTAACCTCTCTATATATACGCATATGTATATTGATTAATGAGATATACAGAAACTTATCATTCTCCAAATAATATGGCATCAGAGCCTTGAAACCCTAGCAGCCGTCAGTCCCCTTTTCCGGCCATCCTCTACCAGTTTTCCGGCCATCTTCAACTAGTTTTTCAGGCCGCCGATTTTCAAATTTCTTGTACATCGTTCATCATCACTGAGCACTCTCGTGTCGCTTTCCTCTTTACTCTGAATTACAGATTTCTTGACCACCATGTCTCAATCCTCTTCTACCTCCCCACTAGTGTGTTAACCAACCCACCACCATCACCACCCGTTGTTCAGAACGCCCGTCACTACCTATCCATCAAACTCAACCCCATAAATCAATGCTGAGTTCCTGTCTTGGCAGCAACAAGATCAACTTGCTGTCTTTATTCTCCTTTCTACTCTTTTTGAGGAGGCTTTTCCACTCATCGTAGGTCTTACGACGTACTCTGAGATCTGGACTTCATTGGCACATGCCTACACATCTCCTTCGATTACAAAAATCCTTCAACTACATGAAGCCATTCATGAACTCAAACAACGGGATCTCTCAGTCACTACCTATTGTTTGGTGGGAAAATTGAAAGAAGAAATTAAGAATTAAATTTGTATTAATTCTCTCCGACAAACTCAGAAAAAAATTAATTACATTTCTCTCGATACAATTTCTCTCTAACTAGCTTAGAAAAAGAAATTACAATCTTCTCGATCGGTTTCTCGATTTACAAAAGAGAGAAGGGTCGACGAAGATCCTTCCATTTGTTTAACTTGGGTTCTTCACGGTAGCAATGAGATGCCTCCCTCGATGTTAATGTCGAGTTTGCTTTTCGTTGACGATCCAACGTTTCACCTCGTTGGATTAAAGTCGATAAAACTTGTGTGACAAGTTTAAACAAAACTCTTAACGAGTTTAATAACTCCGTACGAGTTTAAACTCTATGGAGGAGTTGATTTGAACCGAAATTCGGTTAATTAGCCAAGTATCAAAACTCCAAGAGTTTTTGTTGTCGGAAAGTGCTTCAATATCTCTAAGTGCCGATCTCTTTTTTCTGTTTAAAAAAGATCAAGGTTTAGATCCAAAAAGATCCAATCTTTAACTCTGTTGAGTTTTCTATTATTTATAGAGGGATTAAGGGGTGTAACTGTCCCCTTAATCCGCTCCTAAGTGGGGCGAAAATCCCTCAAATCATAGGGAAAAGCAATTTCTAGAATCGTTCAACTCGTGTTTGAATGAGTCAAACACCAAAATTGGCGTTCTGGCATAAACTCTGCATTTTAGACCTGAGCCGCAGAGTTGGACATATGCCTAAGGTCTAAAACACAGTGGCGGCACCACGTTACGAGTCTGAAATGTAAAAGTGAACTCTGCGTTTTGGAATTAAAGAGATTGTTGACTTCTAATCTCTTTCATTAGGGCATTTGCAGAGATCGTTATTTTATAATCTTCACCTTAGCTCATTGAAATGTGAGAGTCGTCAGATTATAGTTTTCACTATTGATTGTGAAGACTGTTGAATCAAGGTTTTCCATCGATTTTCGTGTTTACGTGAAAATCTTTTAATTGTAACCTTCATTTGTTAATGTGAAAGTCATTTGTTTGTAACTTTCATTGTTAAATTGTTCGTATGAAAGTCGTTAAATTGTAACTTTAATTGTCGGTGTTTAATCAGGATCAACTATCTACAGTAATTTTTAGACAACCTATAACTACCTCTACCTTGCCAAAATCATTTCTGATTCGCTTGCCGCCATTGGACATCCGATCTCTACTGCAGACTTGAACTTATATATTTTTAAGTGTCTTCGCCCTGAGTTCCGGGATCTCACTACGACCCTCAA